GAATTGCTGAGCAAGAGGCAGCATGGGACAAAGCAGAGACTGCTTATTTGAAAACTTAACAAGTAGCTGATATGAGTCCCAGCTATTACATACCTAATTATCAAGCCTGAAGAAAGGTGGAATTTCTTACTTCTTCCTAGGCTTTTCTGTAGCACTTGTCATTATAGTACCTGAGTGCTTCACTAAAAGTAATGAATGTATCTGCACAAAACATATTGAGATGAGACAATGGCATATCTCCATTTAACAACTAAGGACATGAGGCACAGGAAGGTTATGATCAAGGGATCCAGGTTTTCTGTTTCTCACGGAAAAACATTGAAAACCACACATTTCCTGATTTTATCAGAGAAAAAACAGATTTTCCCTTTTAGCAGAGATACCCACAGATTTCCCACTTTTCCAAAGAGTTCTGCAGGTGGACAGAGTTCCAGCCTACAAGAGCTGATTGCAAAAGGGGCGGGAAACCCCCAGCCCTGCCCGGAGGGAGAGGGGAAAGGGCAGGGCCGGAGGCTCTCAGTCAGCCAAGGCCTGGCTCAGGCTCCCTATTCTTCCTGGAGCCTGTGAGGTAAGTGGAGCTTGCAGCGAGCTGGGGGCCCCCTCTGGCAGGGCTGGGGAGTTGTGGGTCATGGATAGGGGACACCAGCAGGGCTGGGGGGTTGGGCTGGGAGCCTGCCCCACTCCTGCCTTTGCCCGCAGCAGAGGGGGAGCCAACTCCATGCTCCTGCTGCTGCAGCAGCTGCTGCCCTCTCTTGGGGGCAGGGAGCTGTGGACCTGGGTCCCTGGCCCCAGAGCCTGGCAGCTGGGAGCCCCCTCCAGCAGGGCTGGGTTGCAGGGGCTGTAGGTGGGGGGCAAGGAAGCGAGGTCATGAGCAGGGGGTGCTGTGGGGGAAGTGAGGACATGAGCAGGGGGGGTGCTGTGTGGGGAGTGAGGGGCATGATCAGGGGCTGTGGGGGGAGTCTCAAACAGGTAACAAGGAACATATCATCAAGGACAGCTTATGAAAATTTGATTTAAATGATTAGCTGGGCATCACAGAGGTACTTTTCATTAGAGGCAGAATCCAGTTTGCCCTAGCCATGAGTTCATTCTTTCTTTTTTTGCAGTTCCCGGCCTCATTCTCCATGCATCTTCCAACTGTTGATACAAGTGAGGTGGCAACCCTTCCCTGGTAACTCTTCCCTGCACAACCCTGAAGGCACATGTAGCTGTTCCCAGGACCTGATCTTTGATCATGAAGCTTGCTTTAAGTGGGTTTGGGGGGTGAGGAGAGGGCTTGTCTGTCTGGGGATGAGGTGGCTGAGTGGCCTAAAAATAGCCCAGTGCAGGGCTGGAGAAAAAGGGGTGTAAGAAAAGTATAGCCCTAAGGCTGGAGTGAGTGACTAGACTTTGCTAGCCCTGAGGCTGTGCTCTGATATGTGAAGACATTCAGCGGATCAAGCCAACCATTTTTTGCCCAATCTAACCTCCCCAAATGTATGTATAGATAGGTACTTAGTCAGCCTAGCCCTACTTAAGTCAATCTAAGTGCAATATCTCCATGTACTCTGGGTTAGCCTAGAGTGGTGAGGGCCAACCATTTTGCCAGGCATACCGCAAATTAACCTCAGTACTTCTTAAGTGCCACTCTGATCTCTTTTTCCTGCCTGATCTGCTGCTCTTTCTGCTCCCTGCCCTATCTGGTCTGCTTTTTGTTTCCTGCCATGTCTATTGTTGTGCTGCCTGTCCCCTCCTTGATCTGTTTTATGCCACACACACAGGCTGTCTATGCCACTTGTGGCACATGCACCACAGGTTGGCCATGAATATAGAATATAGGCCATCCAGGTAAATGAATGTGGCAGGACTCTGGTTAGAAAAATAGGATGTGGTCATGTAACTGAAGTTTCCATAGCTAAGTAGAGACTATCAGAAAGCCCAAGGCTGAATCAATTCAGTCTTTTCAGGTTAGTCTAAGATGCAGAGTTTAAATTGCGAAAATACTGGACAGACACTTACTTTTGATTCAGGAAATGCAGCCACATGCCTGCAGTGGCTCAGACCAGAAGCCAAGGGGCACTAGAGCACACAGCAAGCATGGGATGTGCGTTCACTTCCTCCTTCCTGCTGCCCCTGAGGTCTCTGGGATTTCCACTCCAGAATCAGAGCAGCAGGACTGTGCAGGGTTGCTCATCACTTCCTCTTCCTGCTTCCAGGTGGCTCACAGTTGTAGCCAGCAATACGTTTAGCAGGGCAGGGCAGCTCTGTACTTGGGGAAGGGGAGCTTAACCCACCCCCAGACCCTAGCCGGGCTTTGTCAGAGCGGGCAGGTTTTCCTCTTCCCTTTCCCCTGCCCCCCAACCCTTCTCTGCTGGACCAGACAGCACAGCCCAGACCAGGGCTGCAAAGCATGCTAGGATGCTGGGGGACTGTGATTTAACGTGAACCAGAAAGGGATCTGGGACAGAAGTTTCATAAACTGGTTTGACCCAAATCAGTTAAGTCTGATACTACATTCAGCCAGGTTTATCTTAAACCAGTTTCAGCCATTTTGAAGCCAGTTTATATGCACTGAACTTCTGTTCTGTTACAGGTTTAAACCAGTTTCTGATTACTTAAACCGGTTTATGTGTAACGTCTTTCCCCTAGCCAATAAAAAAAATGTTCAAGTATGGTCTTCTCACCCTCTTACTGGCTTTTCCTTTTTCAGTCCTCAAAGCATCATGAATTCAAATAACCAAATACCGTCTACAACCCTTTCCTCAGGCAACATGTTCTATGTTTAATTGCAGCTGTCTTTTGTAAGCATTCTGGTGTACCAGACTAAGTTTCTAACCTTTTCTAGGCCACGAAGGCTCTTGGGTACCCCTACATATCTGGTTAGAATCACTCCTTTCGTTCAGTAAAATAGGAAGGGTACAATGGTTGTACCTCCTAGTACCTGTTCATTCCTGGCCCCCCTCCCCACTTCTCCTTTAGCTTGGAACCCAGCTTAAGAATCTATGCTGTAGATCTCTGTTTGTAGTTGAATGTAGACCAATTTTGACATTTTAAAAGTAATTCTGTTAATTATGGACTAGGTAGCCAGTGTGAATGAGTGTCCTAAATGGAATATTTAATATTTTAATGTCCGTAAGGAGACACACCCTCAGTTTGGAAGCTTTTCTGTTTTTCTTAGAACTATAAAGTTCGTTTGAAGTGGTGTGGTATGGTTCTGAAGTTTAGAAGAAAAATGTACATTTAGATTTTTTCTGTTGGATCATTTACTCGTCTTCTGGAACTACTCCACAGTCATAGTGGTTACTGTGCAGTAGTTATAATTTTATCCAAATTAGATGATCAATAAGCTCCTTCTCCATTGTAAAAAAAGTAAGGGCAATATCCATGAAAGACAGTCTTATGTATATTCCACTTTTTGTTACAACAAAAATTATTTGGCACATCGATTTTTAGGTAGCATACTTACTAACAAACATGCTATGCTTCATGTAAAGTATCCCATCTACCAATAAGGAAAGCATGTGTTTTAGAATATAAAGAAAGATGTGTAACCTTACTTGCCCAATGTTGCATTAATCTTCTTTGCTGCTTCAGTGGCAAATGAATTAGGGTGGCAAAGACCTTAACCCAGTTATAAGAAAAATGTAATAACTTGTGCTTGATTTATTTTGTTACATTACTATGCAGCAGCATGCCTTCCATGAACAGCTTTGTCCTCATTTTCTGTTAAATTTGATCGGTTCTAGTAAGAGCTCTGCTGTGTACAGGTGTTAGATTTTGTATTGATGAGGCAAAGATCTTTTTCTGCAGCTTTTTTGCAGG